AGGCAGCAGGGGGGCCGCCCCACAGCCCTGCCTCATCCTTTCCCACACCGCTTTCCTACTCACTTACTTGGGCATCCGTCTTGTCCTTGAAGGCATCAAAGATTTTCTTGATGGCCACGACCTCGCCAGTCCTCTGATCCACCGCCTTCCACACGATGCTGTAGGCCTGGGGAGGAGGGCGGTCAGCCTGCTTGGCATAGGGCCATCCTCTGCCCGGCCAGACCGCCCCCTGCAGACATGAGCCTCCTCCTTCCTGCTCTGGTTCCGGGGGAGGGATGCTGTGTGGTGAGGGGCGAGGCCCCCGAGGGGCCTCCAGTGGAGGCTGATAGGAACAAAGGGGGATTGGAGACCAGAGAGTATCTGGGGAGGCCCCAGGAGGATATGAGGTCACAGATGGGAGGGAGCTCCTGGGCAGGATCTGAAGCCTGCCCCTTCTCCGACAGTCACCCTGATCCCTCTCTCGTATACCTCATCCAGCCTGTCAGCAAATCCTGTTGGTTCCACATTCAGGATTCATCAGAATCCGAAGACTTTCTACCATCTCTGCTGCCCCCGCCCTGGTCTGAGCCTCTGGCACCTCCAGCCTGTATCACTACACTGATCTCTTAACTACTCTCTCTCACCCACTCCCACTGTTCATCCTCAACAGAGTGGGCGGGGCGAGCCTTGTAAGGTGGTACCAATGGCTGCTGCCCTCCCCGTGTCACTCACAGTAGCAGCCAAAGTCCTTGCAGTTCCCCAAAGCCCCACATGATAAGCCCATCCCCCTAGAACTCCTATCCTGTTACCTCAACCCTGCTGTTTCCCAACAGCCCAGCAGGTCCTGGCCTCAGGGCCTTTGCACTGCTGCTTGCACTGTCTGAAACTTTCTTTTCTCCCCTCCTTCATCACACACTTGCACACACCCAGTGACCCACCTTCACACATACACTCTCACACAGTCCCACATGCTCACACAATCACAATCACAAATGCACATGGGCTCACACAAGGTTCTGGCCTCCACTCTGCCCACTCAGTTTACTGGCTCAGGCCCTTCCCCCTCAGCGACTGGATCACGTGTGCCCGGTCTCCCTAGAGCATTCTGTGGGCACGGGAGGGGCAGCCCGGGAGCCGGGAGTGGTGGGTGGGGACGGTGGGTGGATGGTGCACCAGGGTCCGAACTGAGGTCTTGGGGGTCCTGGCTGTCACCTGTCTCCCAGAGCCAGATGACAAGTTCCCTGGGAACAGGCCACACCTCCAACTCGTGGAGGAGGCAGGACCCAAGGCCAGGAGTCCCTGGCAGAGTGGAAGGCCACAGTCCTCCGACTGGCCCTGCCCACGCCCTGCAGGTGGCCTGGTCCGGCGGACGCCCGGGCGCCTCCGAGCTCATCCCCTTTCCGAACCGCAGCCTGAGCAGGTATCGCTGGGCAACGTGACGGTCCATCTCGGAGGCGCATATGCCGGCTGGTGGGCGCCAGGAGGCCTCCAGACACTAGCTGGGCTCGAACTGTTGAAAGCCGTTGCCTTGGGAACCGACGGCGGAGCCCTCCCTGCGCCTGCGCCGGGGCGGGGCAGAGCGGGGTCTGCAGCCCAAGCCCCGCCCAATCCGGGGCTGCCATGGAGCCCCACCCCGCAGTCCCGCCCCCTCGGCACCGCCCCCGGACCCTCGTCGCCTTGCCGACCGCACTTCCGCGTGGCCCAGGCCAGAGCCCAGAAGGTGCCCCTCTCCGCCTTCCGCCCCCCGCCCCACCTGCGGCCAAGGAGCCTGCTGCAGCCTCCAGAACCTCTCCACCAATCCGGGCCTTTGCACGTGCAGTGCCCACCGCCCGGGACGCTCTTTCCTCCCTCCGCCTTGCTTCTCCGGTCTCTGCTAAGGGGGTGCCGACGGTTAGGGTGTCATTCGCAGACAGCCCCTCCACTCCTTGGGCATTTGGCGGCAGGGGCCGGGCCATCCCCAGCGGGTGCGAGCGCTTGAACTGGGCAGGCGCTGAGGCACCGCCAGGAAACTAGGGGTTAGTTCCAGGACGGGGGTCCCGGCAAGCGGCTGGGAGAGCAAACCTGGAGGCGGTGGGAGTCTATGAGACTGGCTGAGAGGGGGCTGCCGTACGCAGAGGTCAAGCGCTCGCAGAAAAAGGAAGCCAGGTAAGGGGGCCGACGGGCGGGGGTAGCCAGGGAAGGAAGTGGGAGCACCGAGGGGACAGCCAGGCAAAGGCCCCGAGTGGGAGTGTGCCTGGCGCGTTGGAGCCACAAGGAGGCCCCGTGTGGCTGGAGCCCAGGGATGGAGACCAAGGTATCAGCAGAGGGCGGTGGGCAAAGCTGGAGGGATCTTCCCCGACCAGGGCTCGAACCTGTGTCCCCTGCACTGGCAGGTGGATTCTTGACCGCTGTGCCACCAGCCCAATAAGCATTTGTTAAGTTAATGAATATTATGTGCAGAACTAAATTCGCAAGTACTTTGAAGGAAAAAACTACTTCCTGTGTCTTTCAGCGTCTCCTATAGCATTCATAGAGTGCCCTATTCTTAGGCCCCAATAAATATTTTTGGTAGATACAGTGAAGAAGATGCTTCGTCATATGATTTTATATAGCATGCTGAATGATCTTTCTAGAGGATATAATTTTTTACAAGAATAATTTCCCAGTGATATGTAATAGAGCACTGAGTCAACTAGTAGTGAAGAAATGGAGCCTCTAATCCCAATTCTGGAACGGACTCACTGTGTGACAATGGACAAGTGACATAACTTTGCAACTCTGCAGCATCCTCATCTGTAAACAGGAATATGAAAAAAATCAGAGCTAGAAGGACCTGAAAGCGTTTAGTCACATAGAAATACTAGCACATTGTACAAAATATACAAGAAAGTTCATGGCAGTATTGCTTGCAATTGTGAAAAACTGGAAACAACCTATGAGTACCTCAAGAGGAGACTACATAAATGAGGTCATGAAAAGCAAAGGAAGACAGAAATTGTCACACACCAGAGAACACTAAGGAGATATGATAACTAAAGGCACCGTGGATTGGATTCTGGAACTGAAAAAGGACAGCAGTGGGAAAACTGGTGAAATTTGAATCAAGCCTGGAGTTTAGTTTATACACAGGCTATACGATGTCCCGGGAGGACTTATGATGAGAAAAATGTCAATCACAGCTTTAAGCCCTTGGTTGGGAAGGAGCCAATGAGAAAGCGCATTGGAAGGGGACGTATGTACCATTTCATTCACAAGAAATCGGTAACGGATGATCCTTTCCTTGCACTTTCCACCCAACAATAACTTTGTGCTCCTGGTGCTTGAAGAGCCTCCATATCCTGGTGAAGAGAATTCCCGAGCTTGGGCAGCTGACCCCCTTTCCAGCCACCTGGGTGACCTGGACGTCCCAGCTCAGGCTGAAGCGGGGGAGGAAGATGTGCTGAAGCCTACACCTCTGCTCTGCCGCTCCTGCGCTGACTGCTGGCCAGCTTCCTAGGAACCAGAGGGAGGCGAAAGCCCAGGCCTCCCTGCCACACGCGTGGCCCCGACGCTGCCTCTGGGGCACCTTCTGGCTTGCGGACGTTGCTTCCATGTTATCTGCCATGAGCCTCACGGACCACTGTCCTCCTGTAGCTCAAGTGACTTGGCTTGAGATTCAGTCATTCGTCTTTCTGACCGATCGAGCCTGCTGTTGCGGTTCTCCACTGGGTGTTTAATTCTTCGTTTCTGTTGGATTCTTCAGCACCACAATTTCTGTTTGGTTCTTTTTTATGATTTCTGTCTCATTGTTGAAATTCTTGTTTTGTTCACGTGTTGTTTTCTTGGTATTGTTATCTGTCTTCGTTCTCTTGTAGCTCACTAACAATTTGGCGATCTCTATAAAAAAAGGTATAATGCATGTATCATTTGATTCAAAAGGAATTTGTCATACAAAAATCTCACAAGCGGGCAAAAATAGTTTTCGGTAGCATTGTCTTAGTAGGGAAAAGTTGGTGGCAATGTAAGTGTTCATCAGTATCAGACTGGTTAAATTAATCATACTTCAATTATGCTATACAGCTATTATTATATATAGAATACCACGTAGCTAGTAATGTGTTTTACAATATTATATCTATATATACTGCCCTGAAAAAGTTACTGAAGATATATTGTTAAGCAAATAAAACATTTACAACAAAAAAATAAATAAATAAAAATAAATAAAATTAGGGACAAAGGATTTGAATAGACATATCTCCAAAGAAGATATACAAACGGTCAGCGCCACAGGAGAAGATGCTCAACGTCGTTAGCAATCGGGGAAATGCAATCAAGACACGTGAGGCCACGCTCAGTCACTAGGATGACTTTCAGAAAAAAGTCTTGGCAAGGATGGCGAGAAGTCAGAACTCATACAGTGCTGGTGGGATGTCAGTGGTGCAGCTGCTGTGCAAAAGTGTTTGGCAAGTCCTCGAAAAGTTAAAGATAGAATTACCATACGATCCAGCAATTCCACTTCTGGGTATATATCCAAAATAACTGAAAACAGGTATTCAAACAAATGCTTGTACACACGTGTTCACAACAGCCTCCTCACAAAAGCCAAAAGGTCAAAACAACACAAATGCCCATCAACTGATGAATGGATAAAGAACATATTATCTATACAGACAATAGAATATAATTCAGCCGTAGAAAGGAATGAAGTACTGATATGTGCTGCAATGTGGATGAGCTTTGGAAGCATTATGCTAAGTGAAATAAGTCAGATACAAGAAGTCGCATATTATATGATCCACTTAAATGAAATATTCAGAATAAGTACCTCCACAGACAGGGAAAGCAGGTTGGTGGCTCCCAGGGGTTGAGGGGAGGGGAGACGGGTAGTGACTGCTTAATGGGTACAGGGTTCCTTTTGGGGGTGATGAAAATGTTTTGTAACCACATAGCAGTGGTGGTTACACAACATTGTGAGAGTACCAAATGCCACTAATGTGTATACTTCAATATGGTTAATTTTATGTTATGTGATTTCACCTAAAAAAAAAAGAAGTTACAAGGCTCGGGAGGAAGCAGCAAAAAGGAAGCCGTATCCAGGAGAGAAATAAGCTGATAGAGCCAGCCCCATGAATGACAGAGATGGTGGAATTGCCAGTGACTCTAAAAACAGCTACCATAAGTATGCTCGAGGACATAAAGAAAGCATGAATACAGTGAAATCAGAAAGGACAGAGATGGTGGAATTGGCAGTGACTCTAAAAACAGCTACCATAAGTATGCTCGTGGGCATAAGGAAAGCGTGAATACAGTGAAATCAGAAAGGACAGAGATGATGGAATTGGCAGTGACTCTAAAAACAGCTACCATAAGTATGCTCGTGGATATAAAGAAAGCATGAATACAGTGAAATAAGAAAGGAAAATTATTAAAAAGAACCAAATGGAATTTCTAGAACCGAAAAATAAATATCTGAAATGAAAAACTCAGTGGATGGACACAGCAGAAAAAATGATCAGTGAACTCAAATACACAGCAATATAAACTATCCAAATTGAAACCCACAGGAAAAAAAAAAAACTTCACTGACCTGTGGGACAGTGTCAACAAAAGGGGGGTGCAGAAATCATGGAGAAAGTAATGGCTGAAATTTTTGCAAATTTAAAGAAAAAATTAGATATTCACAGATCCAGGAATTTAAATGAAGCCCAGGTAGGAAAAACACAAAGGAACTCGTAACTAAATTGCTGAAAACAGTGATAAAGAAAAAATACTAAAAGTAACCAAAGAAATTTACATGCAGAGGAACAAAAATAAGCATAACTGCAGAGTTTTTATCAGAAAAAAACAATTCAAAGCAGAAGGAAAAGCAATGACATCATTAATGTACTCAGAGGGAAAAAATGTGAATCTAGAGTTCTCGAACCAATCCCTAAAAATGTAGTGTATAGAAAGCATACAGAAGAGATTACAAATGAGAAGCTGGGTACGGTTAAAGTGGAACCCAGCGTTAAAAAATTAGAAGAGTGGCCAAACAGGAGAGGGGATTCTTCAGGCTGGAAATGAACTAAATCTGGTGAGAAACATGGTACCGTGGAAACCGCTGGAGCCTTTAGTGGAAAGCCTCCTGCCAGTGGAAATGGCTGATATAATCATCATTAAATGACTCGTGCATTGATGGAAAGAGGACGTAATTAAATGTTCTGTTATATTAAAAATGTTTTCATATTATTGACATCTTGTAATCAAGAAGACTGATACAGAACATAAAAATAAACATAAAATTAGAAAACTAACAGAGGAATTATGAGTGTCAGGAATGAAAGACTACATTCCTACCAGATCCTTCAAACATTGAAAATAAGGGTTTATTGTCAACAACCTCCCACCAATACATTTGATAACTTAGATGAGATGGCAAGTCCATTGAATGAGTGGGAGTATTACCCAAATATAATCAATAATAAACATAAAGGGCTTCCCTGGTGGCGCAGTGGTTGAGAGTCCGCCTGCCGATGCAGGGTACACGGGTTCGTGCCCCGGTCCGGGAAGATCCCACAGGCCGCGGAGCGGCTGGGCCCGTGAGCCATGGCCACTGAGCCTGCGCGTCCGGAGCCTGTGCTCCGCAACGGGAGAGGCCACAACAGTGAAAGGCCCACGTACCACAAAAAAAAAAACAAAAAAAAAAACATAAAGATAAACTGAAAAACTCTATGGCCACAAGGACGGAGAGAACAGAAGGCCCATCGATGGAAATGGAGGAAGGACTGATCACCACTTGGACAGGCTGAAAGGGATGACAGCCGGACTCACTACGGAGGGTCCGAGGTGAGGAGCGGGCCGAGAGGCCAGGAAGGTCGGCATGCTTGACTCGGAAGGCACAGCTGGGCGTTCCCCCAGCTGCGGGCAGCAGGAAAGGCAAGTGGGAGCCTTAGTAAACTCAGTCGACAAGAGCGGGGCCTGGTGGTGGGGGGCGCGGAGCAGTCCAACGCAGCTGCTGGGGGCAGTGGGACCTCTGGCCCCTGGAGCAGCAGGGACATGTGCCAGCTAGCAGGCCAGCCCCTCTTCTCCCTGCCTTCCCCCAGGAACCCGCAGCCAAAGGAGGCCTCAGCCCTGCCATTCTGCCGCCAAGAACGTGGCCCTAAGCAGAATTATCCCCAAATCAGTGAATTTCAGCAAAAAAGGAATTCTGCAGCATGAACTTCATTACATTTACTTAATTATTAAATCAGATTTTCAGTGGACATTTGATTCATCCATTAGTAATTTTTTAATCTGCTATTATGTGTTTTCTCTTGGGGCCATTATTTCTACCCAGTCCAGCTTTCCCTTGTCCAAATATCCTGGCAGATGTAAATTTTGTCAAGTTTTTATTTTCTCATCGGTTGTCAGCTGACAGTTTGATTGCGTGCAGTTGTAACCTTCACCTTAGTTTTGAGTGCGTTGTTGACTCGGGGTATTTACTATGCATTGAGAAGTGTGGGGGCTGTGCATTTAATTTTTAGCTGACCCACGGGGAGATCATGCGCAGTTTGGGGGGCCTCATCCAGGAGGCCCAGAGTTAGGGGGAGCGGGCGTGTGGCAGGTCAAACCCCCCAGGTTGAAACGATCTGGCCTAAACCTCCTGCTTCATCCATCACCAGCCTCCTTATGACCCTGGAGACCAGCTCACAGGGGTCGCACCTCCCACACTGCAGAGTGTCACAGTCTGAGTATGGGCCCCACCCCTTCCTTCCCCTCAGCGTCCAAGTCTGAGTAGATATCAGCTGTGTCCCCATGTGTGTCACAGTGTAGCCCACCGCTCACCCTGTTTCCGGTGCAGCCCCCGACCCTGTGGGGTGGACCTGCTGTGCTCCCCTGGGTCTGGGTCTCTGAAGTTGGGCTCCCCTCTCTCCTGCTCCCAGTGTGGGCTATGGACCCAGGTACCCCAGGTCACTCCAGGCACCTGCCTGGGACCCTCCCAGGAGAGCACCTCGGGGTTGTAGCTGTGGTTGTCTCTAGATCATGTGACCAGACTTGGAAACGGGGGTCCCCCGAGGGGGTGCGCCCCCCAGCCGGGCGCCTCCTCGTGGCTGTCTCTCAGGGGCATCTGAGCCAGCCCGTGGAGGTGGGCGCTGGCATCGCCATTGGGGCCTCCACAGGGCTCTGGGCCTCCTTCCGTTTGTCATCCTCTTCCTCACAAACAGGTAGGGGAGCACCCCTGGGAGGGGGGGCATGCACACCAACCCGGACCACACCCCGAGGCCCAGCCGCCCCGGTCTGGAGGACCGGGGAGCCAAGCCCACAGGCCCTGGGCTCCAGCGAAGCCTCTCCCCGAAGCTGCGACCCCGCTGACCCTGAGGAGGCCAGGGCCCGGATCACCGCAGCAGCGTCACCGCAGAGCCCCAGCCGGCCCGCATGTGCTCTGCACATACACGCACCCCGGGGCTCCCGCTGGCTCCCGCCCGCCTTGGCTCATGGGACTCGGGTGGCGGTGCTGCCCGTCCCTCACTGCACCGCGCGTCTGGACAGGGTACTTCCTCCAGGGGCGCCATGGCTGTGGGAGCTGACGCACATCGTGGCCTGGATCTGGTCCTTCCACCTGGGGCTGACCGTGAGCCTCGTGTGGGTCTGGCACCGATTCCAAGGTACTTGGCTGTGGAGGGGCCGCCACTGGAGGAAGGGTGCCTGGCCCAGGGCCAGCTTAGGTTGGGGTGGGGGGTGGGGTGGGGCAGGTCTGCAGGCAGCACACAAGCTGGGATATAGGGGAGGGGACAGACTTGGGTCCTGCCCAGGGCACAGAGAACAGCTGGGTCTGGGCTCTCCAGGGCTTGACCTCAGCCAGAGGACGCACTGGATAGACAGGCTCTCCTGGACCTCACTCACATTCCTGCCCATCCTCCCCTTTGCCATGGTGACCGCCATCAGCGCTGCCCTTCTGATCAACGGACAAGGTACCGGGGTGGGGCTGAGGCAGCCCTACTGCCAGGCCCCCAGGGCCCCTTTGTCTGACCTCTGCTCAGCATCTGGCCGCCTCTGTGGTGTCAGACTCCCACCGGGGCTGAGCTCCAAGGACAGGGTCTCTGGCATCACCTGAACCCACCCCCACCTCCACAGGTCCACTTGGCCTTGGCAGGTGGAAGGGTCATAGGCACTGGCCATGTGGCCTCAGGCTGCCGTGGAGTGGGATTCAATTAAAAGCAGCTGGCTCCTCCCTTTGCCCCAGGGCACAGGGCAGGGACAGGAGAGGACTCAGCCAGAGAGGCAGTGCACACAGTGGGAAGAGCCCACCAAGGTCCAAGTCACAGACCCAGTGCTTTCAGGAGTCCGTGGGCAGCTCACTCACTCTGCCTGTTTCTCCATCTGTGAAATGGGAGCAGAGGCCGCTGGAAGTGCTCACCCCCCGGGTCAGACACAGCCCAACCCCACTGGGACTCCTGAGAAGGGGCGCAAACCCCAAGTCTCCGGAGCTCAGTAGGGAGGGCTCCGAGGCAGAAGGAACAGTAAGTGAGGGCAGGAAGGTGTGCCCTCCGGCGGCCTGTCCAGGCTTGGGGGCAGGGGCTGAGTGGTGAGGGCAGCATCCCAGGAACAAGCCGGTGGGACGTTCTGCCGCAGCCTTCAAGGTCCTTGCAGGCCCCTAGCAGAGCCCGCTGGGGGGAAGGGGCCGGGGTGGGAGGAGAAGGGGGACGGGAGGGGGCAGCCTTGCCAGAAGCTGAGCACACTGCTGGCCCTCTCCCTCCCGGTGTCCTTCCAGCTCGGTGTCCCTGCCAAGAGATGAGTGACCCTCCAGACGCCTCCCGGCCGGAGTCCGAGGGTACTGCAGCCTTGGCCCCGGCAGGGACAGAGACCCCCACGCCATTCACGAAGGGAGGGGGGAAGGACCCCAAGGGTGCGGAGAAGTATCAAGAGTGACACTTGGCTTTGAATCTGGGCCCTTGGAGGTGAGTTCCGTCTCCCGTGGGCGGTGGTGGGACCTGGTGGACACCAGGCACCGCTTTCCCAACACAGTGAGAGAAAGCCACCGGACGTCCGGAGTGGCGGGCATCTCAGCCCGCTTGCAGGCCGGGCGCCCCCCTCTTCCCTGGGAGAGGGGCTGCTCCCGGAAACACCCACGCGCCCCGTGGCTGTCGGCGGGGATCGAGCCCGAGGAAACGGAGGGGACAAGGTCCCCTTCTGCCTCTAATCGCCGCGGGGCAGAGGCAAAGCGCAGCCTCTGCGGCCGGGCTGGGCTGGGAGCGTAGAGGTGGACGCTTGCGGCTGGTGTCGGGGGGCGGACCGGGCGGGGTGCGAGGGGCCGGGAAGGAGCCGAGCCCGGGTTGGGCGTGGTTTGGAGGTCTTCCGGGCGGGACCGGGGCTGGGGGCGCGGCGGGGCGTGGCTTCCCTCAGGACTCCACCTTCGATTGCATCCGGATTGCGTAATCGGGAATTGCCCCGCCGGGAAGAACCCGGTCTCGAGGAATCCGGAGACAGAGGAGAACGAAACGCTCGCCACACCTCTTCTGGGAGGAGACGTTTATGAGCTTTAACGCGAGGACACCTCGCCGGGGAATCGGGAGGCCCGGACGACTTAAAATTTAAAAACCTCTGCCCATCGGTTGCCTTGCTTCGAAACAGAAATTAAAAGACCCAGGTCGACCTAGACACTCCCGCGACAGATGTGTGCGGCGCAGGAGCCCGGGAGGGGCAGGGGCGGCCCACGGTGCGGTGTGCTCTGGGAAGGAACAGGGTCCGAGACTGCGGAGGACCGGCCCGGCCTTGAGAGCAGGCCCCGACCCCTCGCAGTCTGTTGCGCAAGCAACGGGGCGGGAGTTGGGGAGGGCGGCTAAGTTCTGTTTCCAGGGAGACCATTCGGCTGACCGCCAACAGAGCTAAAGGTGGACAAACCCCGACGGGCGGCCAAGGTCCTGAAGGAGCCCCCTAGTAAAGGTTGGCGACGATGTCCTGACCCTTGATTGACCCCAAACTCCTGATTCTGCCTCTCCCAACCTCGTGACCCTGAGACGCGTCGAACCCCGCCAGAATCTTCGGGCTGGTCGAGGGGAAGGGCTGAGCTGGAGGAGCGGGCTGGAGGCCTCGACCCATGGTGCCCAAGAGGAAGCGCGGGCCGAGCGCCTGGGGCCGGTCTGGCGCGGCAGGAGAGGGCACCGAGCCGCCGCAATCGGAGAGCGCTCAGTACTTGCAGCGAGAATACAAACTGCTCTCGGAGCAGCTGGACGCCTGCGAGGAGCGCGTCGACCAGGAGCTGCAGGAGAACGCCTTCCTGGACTGCGAGGCGCAGCGCCTGCGCGAGGAGAACCGGCTCTACGCCAGCTACGTGAGCACGCGCGCGCAGCGCTGCGCCAACGCTATCGTCCGGCTGGAGGAGCAGAACCGCGTGGACCTGACGGAGATCCACCGGCAGCGCGCAGAGCTGGCGTCGCTCTACCGCCGGCGTGAGGAGGGGGTGTGCGCGCAGCTGCTGGAGATGGAGACGCGCGCGGCGCAGATGGCGCGACAGGTGCAGGAGCTGCAGCCCTACAAGGCCAGTACGCGCCCCCGCGGGAGGGCCGGGCGCGGGCAGGGCGAGGTGGGTGCACGCCGCGGACCGGAGCTGACCCGCGGCCCCGCCGCAGGAGCTGCAGCTGGAGCAGCTGGCCCGGATCCGGGCGCTGGAGCGCGAGCTGCTGCATATGCGCGTGGAGCACATGCAGCTGCTCCATCGCATGAAGCGGTGTTTCCAGGAGGAAAAAGCAGCCTTCGAGCGCGAGGCGCGCCAGCGCGTGCAGTCCCTGGCGTGGCGCGCGGAGCGGGAGGCGGCGCGCGCGCTCATCGCGCACACACAGGCCATCAGAGAGGACAACGGGCGCCTGCGGCAGGAGCTGCTGCGGCTGCAACGCCGGGCCCAGGTGCTGCACGACACGCGGCGCCAGTTGCTGGAGCAGCGTGAACAGCTGCGGCGCGAGCACGAGGACATGCGGAACCTGGCCCACGTGCACAGCTGGCTGCGCCGGGGCTCCGAGGGCCCGCCGCTTTGGCAGCCGCCGCTGGCCAACTCGCACCCTGAGCACTTCGCCTCCACCACGATCCAGTCGCGCGCGACCTCCTGGGCCCCATCAGTCTCGGCCTCCCGGAAGCCGTCTCAGGTCTCGTGGCGCGCGGCCTCTTGGGCCCCATCGTTGCTGTCGAAGCTCGCGGTTCCCTGGGTCCCGTCATTGGTCCCGTCGCGTGTTGGCTCCAGGGTCCTGTCGCTGGCCCCTTCGAAGGCGGAATCACGGGTCCCATGCCAGGACCCATCGCATGCGAGCTCCAGGGTCCCGTCCTTGACCTTGTCGCGCCCAGGCTCCCGAGTCCCATCCCTGACCCCGCCACGCCTGGATTCCTGGGCCCCTTCGCGGTCCTCATTGCGTGCCGCCTCACAGAACACCACCCTCTTTGGGAAGTCCGTCCCCGGGTCGGGCTCTTCCCGTCCCCCAGTCGAAGGAGACCGTGAATGTGACGCTGCAGGCGAAGGCGCCTCGGGGAGATCCTGAACTTACCCGGAGGAAGGCCAATGAGGCCAGACGGTGCGGGGGAGACGGGGGTGCGCAGGACGCGGATTTGGTGAGTGGATTATCAATAAAGGTGTGACCCCCCTCCCCACCCCTCTCCGCTCTGGCACCGCCTGCTTCGCTGTCCCGCATTTCTGGCCGGCGCAGGGACCACTCATTATGGCTCCCAGTTTCCAAGCTGCAAGGTAGCTTGATCGTCCTGTGCCCTGTGTGTCTGCCAGGATTGAGCATCCCTCAACCCCACAGCTGACCTCTGGCAGGGGCAGAGGGAGCCGGCCACGCCATCGTCCTGCCCATGAGGGCTGAAGTCTGGTGGCAGAGATGGACATCACGGGCATGGACAGGTAGTATGAGAGCAGGAAGGGAGTCTGGCGGGCCAGGGAGGAGCTGGTCCACTGCGTGTGGCGGCCGGGAGGGCCAGCGTGGTTTGAGCTGCTCAAGAGAGCCATGGGGGGGGGGCGTGGGCTTTGTTCTGGCGCCATGGGGAGCCACAGGCGTTTTTATGTTTAACCTATTGTTTTTTTGTTTGTTTTTGCCGCGCCCTGCGGCTTGTGGGATCCTAGATCCCTGACCAGGGATTGAACCCGGGCCCTGGCAGTGAAAGTCCTAACCACTGGACCTCCAGGGAGTTCCGGGGGGGAGGGTAATTTTAAATTTTGACTTAGCTGTCAGTCCAAGTGCACGGAGGCCAGTTAGTACGCTCTCCCTCACCTGTGGTTTGCATTAATCAACGGCTGCATTGGGGAGGTGGAGCGTGGGGGAGACCAGGGCGGATGCGCCACCGTGGCCCATGGACCTGGACCCTGTGGAGGGAGGAGTTCAGACCGCAGCTTTCAAACAGAGCCCCCCCAGCCCCCGCCAACCTTGCCGTGGAAATTTAGTTAAACGTTCTGGTTCTGGGTTGGAAGTGCTGGTGGGGGGCTGGCAGCATCAAACACAAATTCTCTGAGAAGAGTTCACTTGAGGGACTTCCCTGGTGGCGCAGTGGTTAAGAATCCGTCTGCCAATGGAGGGGACACCGGTTGGAGCCCTGGTCTGGGAAGATCCCACATGCCACGGAGCAACTAAGCCCGTGCGCCACAACTACTGAGCCCATATGCCACAACTACTGAAGCCCGCGCGCCTAGAGCCCGTGCTCCGCAACAAGAGAAGCCACCGTAACGAGAAGCCCACGCACTGCAATGAAGAGTAGCCCTGCTCGCCCCAACTAGAGAAAGCCCGTGCGCATCAGCGAAGACCTAACGCAGCCAAAAAATAAATAAATAAATCTATTCAAAAAAATGAAATCTTGTTATCAATAGGTTCTTTTTTTTTTTTCCCTCCATTGCGGTGTGTGGGCTTTTCATTGCGGTGGCTTCTCTTTGCAGAGCACAGGCTGTAGGCGCTTGGGCTTCAGTAGTTGTGGCACGTGGGCTCAGTAGTTGTGGCTTGCGGGCTCTAGAGCGCACGCTCAGTAGTTGTGGTGCACGGGCTTAGTTGCTCCGCGGCATATGGGATCTTCCCAGACCAGGGCTCGAACCCGTGTCCCCTGCATTGGCAGGTGGATTCTTAACCACTGCGCCACCAGAGAAGGCTTATAACAACATTTTAGTTTTGCCTGGACTTTTGTTAAGCCGCAAATTAGACATTGTTACTCTTTGTGAAAATTCATCCACTTGCATCCTTAGCATTTGGGACACATCTGTATGTACGTTATGCTTTGATAAAAAGTTCACATTCAGAACCCTGTTGGGCTGGTTCTGGTAGTTCCTTCTTCCTTGCACAGCTTTCCAGCATCTCCCTCTTAACAAGCTGCTCAAACTCAGCCCTGGTCTGCCCGGCAGGCTGCCAGCTGACGGTGCCTGTGGGGATGGAGGAGAGCTACCCCATAGGCTCCGAGGAAGTGGAGCAACAGGAACTCCCCATGCCTTGCTGGAGGGGATGCAGACTGCAGACTGCAGCCACTCAAAGGGACAATTTGGTGGTTTCTCACAAAATTAACATACTTGTATAATATGATCCAGCAATGACACTCCAACCCAAAGGAACTGAGGACTTATGTCCACACAAAAACCTGCACATGTACGTTTATAGCAGCTTTGTTCATAACTGACAAAACTTGGGAGCAACCCAGATGTCCTCCAGTAGGTGAGTAGATAAATACATGGTGGTCCATCCAGAAAATGAAATATTAATCAGCACTAAAAAGAAATGAGCTATCAGCCGTGGAAAGACACGGAGGAACCTTAAATGCAAATCACTAAATGAAAGAAGCCAACCTAAAAAGGCTGCACATTGCATGATTCCGACTCTGTGACATTCTGGGCAAGTCAGAACCATGGCGACAGTTAAAAGATTAGTGGTTGGGCTTTCCTGGTGGCGCAGTGGTTAAGAATCCGCCTGCCAATGCAGGGGACACGGGTTCCAGCCTTGGTCTGGGAAGATCTCACATGCCGTGGAGCAACTAACCCTGTGCGCTGCAACTACTAAGCCTGCGCTCTAGAGCCTGCGAGCCACAACTACTGAAGCCCACGGGCCTAGAGCCCATGCTCCACAACAAGACAAGCCACTGCAATGAGAAGCCCACACACCGCAACAAAGAGTAGCCCCCGCTCTCCACAACTAGAGAAAGCCCGCACGCAGCAACGGAGACCCAAAGCAGCCCAAAGTAATTTTTTTTTAATTATTAAAAAAAAAAAAAACACAGAGACACAGAGGACCACACCTGTGTCAGCAGAGCCGAGGCTGGAGCCCTGTGGCCACAAGCCAAGGGGTGCCAAGGATGGCCGGCGCCGTGAGAAGCTGGAGAGAGGGAGGCTTCAGAGGCAGCACGGCCCGGCTGGCGCCTTGACCTCACACTCTGGCCTGTAGAGCTGAGACAGTAAGTTCTGTTGTCCTCAGCCACCCAGATTGTGGCACTTCGTCACGGCCGTCCCAGGAGACCGATACAGCCATGCATGCAGACATCAGCTCAGGAGGTGGCCTCCCGGGGGACACGTGTCACGACGCTGTTAGAAGAATGGGGACGCGGAAGGGCCACAAGAGATGGACAAAAGCACCCGTAGAAGGACGTGGAGAGAACGAGTCCATTATTTTGAGGACAAGAAACCAAAACCACGTGCTTATTTTCACAGCACAGGACGGGCGCTTGAGGACACACTCCGCCATCCGCAGACCATCCCTCGGGCCGGGGGAGGGGGTCTTTCGCTCTTTGCCGTTTCCCAGAGGGAGATACTTCATTTACTGTGAGGCTCATTTGACCCCTAACCTGGAATAAATCTCACTAAAACAATACGACTGGCTCCCTTTTCTAGACAAAAGTTGCCCGATTTATCGGCCAAGGGAGCCAGGACCTCACCCCTCTCCCTGGGGTGAACGTCCACAGGAACTCCTGGGGAGGGGCGTCCAGCGGGTCACGAAGGACAGGGACGAAGCAGCAACGACCCACCGGCTTGGGTTTTCTGGGCCCCAAATGGGAGGTGTGGGATGCTCTGCTCTGCGGGCCAGGTCCCGCGGCAGCTGCTCAGGGACAGATCGCACGTGGTGGGTGCATCCGGGGAGAAGGTGTGCGGAGGGGTGGACGCCTCGGGCACCAGGGGCACACCCGTCCCTTTCCACCAGCCATGGGACAGCCCGCTGCTGAGAAGGCTGGTGCTTCCTAAGGACACCTGCCCCTGGGGACGTGCAGACAGGGAGCTGAGGTGCAGACCTACCTTACTGCGCCTTCACCACCACGCTTCTCCCCCCAGGGTGCCGCATCCAGCAGAGGGTTCGCAGGGAGCCGTGCACAAGGACACAAGGAGGCAGCTGCGTCCCTGCCGTCTGCCCGCTGCCACTCCCTCAAAGCGTTCGCCACCAGGGCCTGCCCAGCCAGGCACAGAGGAAACTGCAGGCTGGGACAAGCCAGCCAGCAAGGGGAGCCGGATGTGCCCCCTGTTCGGCAGCCACTGGTATCACTCGATAATCGTCATCAGATGGAGCGTAGCTAATGGCACAGTTCTGTGTTGTCCACACTTAATTCCACACGATGGCGGCACGAGGTGAAGCATCACAAAGGAGGAAAAGCCAGAAACAGGCGACCTGGACGCACGGCCAGCTGGGCTGCAGGACAAGCCCAAAGACCCAAGACAGGCCATCCCAGCTTGCACTCCAAGGCCACCTGAAGGCCTCCACCACTCCACACGTGGGGTGGGAGCAAACCAGGCACTTCCCTGCTCACAGCTCTGAGCTGGAAGGAAAATATAAGCACGGGCACAAAAGTTTGGATTTTATAAATAAGAAAAGCCACTCGGATGTTCCAAAGGGCACATTTCTATTTATTCCAGAGGGCCATGGGCCCCGCGCCCTTAAGGCCTCACTGGCCATGACGGGGCCACCCTGAAGCAGCAAGGCCCTTCCCCAGCTGGGCTGTGGGCAGGACTGACCCAGAGAAGCTTCTGCTATAAACTGAATTGTATCCCCCGTCCCAAATCCCGTGTTGAAACCCTAACCCCAGTGTGGTCCCGTTTGGAGGTGGGGCCTCTGGGAGGTGATGAGGTGAGATGAGGTTGTCGGGTGGGGCCCCGTCATGGGATTAGAGCCCTTATAAAAGGAAGAGACACCAGCGCGCTCTCTCCCTTCCCCACGTGAGCACACAGTGCGGAGGTGCCGTCTGCAAGCCGGGAGGTGGGTCCTTGTCAGAACCGGCCACCTGGTCTCCGACTTCCAGCCTCCAGAACTGTGAGAAATAAACTTCCACCGTGTCAGCCTCCTGGTCTGTGGTGTGTTGCTATGGCAGCCCGAGCAGACTGACACAGCTTCGTAACTTGATAACTTAATGGCTATTTTCAGTATGTATTAATGAACTTAGAATATAAATATCCTGTAAAATGAGAAAAAAAATGTAGGAAAGTTCCAAACATACTCATCACTTAGGTTCAACAACTCATTTTGCCAATACTGTTTTGTCTTTCTTCTTTTAATTAGAATTTTAAAGCAAATCCCATACATTACGCCATTTCACCCATAAATTTGTCAGAATGCATCCTTCTTAAGGACTTTTAAAAACAGAACCACACTGTCATTATCACAGCAAACTCCTAATACCACCTAATACCCAATCCATGTTCAAATTTCCATGATTGTCTCAAAAAAGCCTTTTTACAACTGGTTTGCTCAAATCGGGGAGAGGTGGTCCCTCAGTGCAATGCCTCTGGGGCTCTGCTAGCTCCTCATGGCCCCCCATGTTTTTCTCTCTGGAATTCAGACAAAAATTAAAATCCTTCACCAAGCCTTTGGATAACCTGAAATAGCGTTCCCACGAGCAAGGGGGACAGGTGTCCTGCCCAGTGACCAAGTCTCCAAGTGCGAGCCGGTGCCCTAGAGAAGCCCACTCTGCAGGTTTTTACTTCGGGGCTGGGCAAGCAAAGATGCCTGGAGTCTGGAACAAAGAGTCACCTCTCCCCGCAAGTCTCCCTGATGTGAACATGGCCAGAGGACCCCCACGCACACCTCCACTTCCCCGCGCCTGTGGGTCCCCTGATGCCTCGTCAGGAAGCCCAGATGGTGGACGCCCTTCCCCCAGCGGCTCCGGCGGGTGCTGAGGCCCTGGGGCCCGCAGAGCCTTGCCGCACAGGGAGGCCTTCCCGCCGTCGCCACGAGGTGAGGCTCGCGCTCCAAGCAGGCCTGGCGATGCGGGCCCAGGCGGCCTCTCAGGCTGAAGGCCTGTCCGCACACCTCGCAGCCGAAGGGCTGCTCTTTTCTGTAGTTCCTCTGGTGTCGCAGAAGGTCCGGGACCCGCCTGAAGGTCCGGCCACACTGGAAATGCTCAAAGGCAAAGCCACTGCCCACCCCACCCCTGGCTCGAGGGCTGCCAGAAGCGATTACAGTGTCTCCACCGGTAAAGGGCCTCCCTTGCCCGGTGGAGGAAACAGGCACTTACACAGGCTGGCAGCGAGACAGGAGAAAATCCACACAACGTGTCTCATCAGCTCACTCCCCTCTAATTAGGGATTCACTCCAAGAAAGTGGCCCAGCAGTGAGAAAGGAGCACACAGACGAGCTGAAACTATAAATGGTGGAAAGCTGAAAATGAACTCAAACGCTCACCCGGATGAGGCCAGTTAGGTCAACGCTGGTGTCACCCGTAGGAGGGAGGGCTGTAACGCTGGGCGGTCACCTAAAGAGCCGGGTGGCACCTTACATACTTGTGTTTACACAGGAACAAAGACACCAGTCAGGATAGAGACTGTGCTCTCAGTTCCCCTAACCAGCCCCCGCTCCTGGGTTGGGGGAGGGTGCCGGGGACGGGGACCCACATCCTTCTGAACCACTCACCCTCAGCTTCCCTCCAACCTGGCACCCGAGACCCTCTCTGTCTTGGGGCTCCTCACAGCCCAGTGTCTGCCCGGCTGGTCTCATTCCCACACGTCTGCTCGATCTCACTTCTGAGGGAATCTGAAATGAAAAACAAAAGACCACCACAGTCACCACTGCCCGTAAGGGCAGGAGGCGCCCTCACCATCCCTGGGACGAGCACAAGGAATAAGTCACCTGCCCGCGGCCACACACGAAGCCCCTCAGAGCAGGGCTGTCAGGCCCGAGACCTCATGCCGGGCGTGCGCGTGCTGGGGCGGCCGCGAGGTTGGAGCACCCACACCCTCTCAGGCCCCCCGCTGTGCACACCCACGGCGCCCGCCGGCTCGGCACGCAGCAGAGCAGCGCTCCGTGCAGGGGCGGGGCGCCAGCCCGGGTTTCCAGGGTCCGGTCAGACAGCATCTCCTGCCCACGGTCCCAGTGGGAGGGGAGAACGTCATCGGTGGGTGCTGGGCGCTGATCTCCCCTGGGAGCAGAGGGAGACCCTGGGGACCCCTCCGCACTTCCTGAAACGCGGGTCTCTCCCGTCCCACAACCCGCGGCTCACCCCAGTGTTCCAGGCGAGAGATGCGGCCAGGTATGGGGCCTCGAAATCCTCCAAGGAGAGAAAAGGTGTGGTTTTCTGTATAGAAGACAAAGCGAGGGTGCAGGCCAGCCCTGGGGGCAACATCCAGGAAGCCACCCCAAAGCAGAGAGGACAGACAGGGAGGAGGGAGCCAGGGCCAAACCGTGACAGGCTCTCCCCACCCTCCTTGCCGGCGGGGCCAGGTCTAACAGTGGACGGGTCTCAGGAAGGAAGAGTGGGCTGCCTCCAGGGCAGCATGAAGAATGCCCTTGGCCAGACTTGGTGCAGGACGGCCCCTCCACAGACACAGGACAAGAGCTCCAGCTCCCACACCCCCTTAGCCTGAACTCGAGGCCCTGGCGCCATCGAGGGACTGGATGGGCTCTGCAGGCTGAATTCAGCCGAGCTCCTGAAACTGCCGGCATCACACCCCGGCCCAGCACCCTCTGGCCAGGGTCCGCACACCACCACCACTCTTCCCTTGAGGAGTGCATGGCCACCTGCAACACAAACAGCTCCCGCCAGGAGCAGGACGTCAGACATGGCCGCTCCTGAGGCTGCAGGACAGTAAATGGAGAGAAGCTGAAACGCACGTGTCTGGAAGAAAAGGCGGGGGGCCAGGGGGTCTCAAAGGAGAAGAAACCTCAAGAGGCCTGAAGCTGAGGCTCAAGGGAAGGCTCCTGTCATGGACTGAATGTCTGTGTCCCTCAGATTCATCTGCGGAAGCCCTAACTCCTAGTACGGCTGCATTTGAAGGTGGGGCCTCTAGGGAAGTATTTAAGGTTAAAAAAGGTCATAGGGTGGGGCCCTGATCCGATAGGACTAGGGTCCTCGTAAGAAGAGACACCAGAGCACTCTTGCACCCTCTTCCTCTCTCTCTCCTTCTACAAGCCAGGAAGCGGGCCCTCACCAGAACCAACCATGCCAGCACCCTGATCTGGGACTTCCAGCCTCCAGACTGTGAGAAATCAACCAATAAATGCGTGTGTGCTGAGTTACGGCAGCTTCAGCAGACTAAGCACCTAGAGAAGCAAGTGCATTTTCATGTTTTCTGTAACACCCACTATGGTCTTAATGTAACTGAATCACATCTCCCCCCACTCCGTAAGACAGAGCTGGCAGGCAGGCAGGCAGGCACAGACCTCTGGAACCCCCATGGTGGACCACTCCCACGGGTGGGCTGGGGGCTGGGGTCCTGGTCAGCCTGCAGGGCCCAGGGAGGTGGTGCTCACCAGGGACACATCCGTGGGAACAGCAGAGGCCTTTGGGGAGACGTGTGGGCCCCTCTGGGGAAAGGCAGGTGCTGAGGGCTGATCTGTGAGACAAAGAGAGAGCTGCAGCCCTGAAGCCCCCACCTGACCCCAAGAGCCCTGAACCTTCTCAGTGCACCAAGGGAGATTCAGGAAAACCAGTGACACAAGCCCATGCACGCTCCATAATGGAAGGGGAATTTGGGGGTCAGGTGGGGGCCAGTATCACTGTAAGTGCCCTGGGTCCCCCACCCCCATACACATGGACCCTGACATTCCAGAGAGCAAGCCACAGGCTGTCACCAAATGGTGGCGAGACCATCATTTATGGCTGAAAACCAGCAGCTTAGCCGCAGACAAATGATTGGACAGTTGGGTGCTAAACCCCACCCTGTGTGCTTCCCCAGGAGACAGGAGCAGGCTGGCCCATGCCCGCAGCAGTGCACACATGAACGTTCTCGGGCACTTTCCCCCAAATCAAATTCTTCCACCAGAGCTTCATTATTCTTCACCAAGTCCTGGGAATAAGAGCAAGCTCCCCTAAACCGTGCCGACGTGGTCTGCTCAGACCCTACTTCTGCCCCCAGGTTTGTTCAGAACCACCCTCCTCAGGATCCCAAAGTCTCCGGCCACAGTGAGTGCCTGTGTCTTTCCTGGG